CTGCTGAATATAGCCTACTAAGAGGTCATTTTGGAGCATCTTAGCCCAAAGAACAATAGGATGTTTTTCAAAATACCCACAGAAAAACTGTGAGAACACAGTAATGGAGACAGGGCTCTGTCTGTGTAGATGCCAATATCCAAACAGACTAAGCTAGGCGTTCAGACTTACACATGGATCATTCAGGCTAGCTGTAGAGAGAAAAATCAAGCTTCAGCCATTAAAAAGCAGTTTCTCCTTCAAGGTAGACTCTTTATGTTCTGCCATATCTTGCTGTTTAATAAGATCATACAGCAGTCTTGAAAAGTCTTTCAGCAACTGCTCATCACCTCTTTACAGTAGATTTTGCAGGTGAGGCTTCAGCTATCAGAACCACAAAGATATTTCCAGCTCAAAGTTGCTTCTTTCCTAAGCAACAGTCTTTTTTTTTTTTTAAAGTTTCTTTTAAATGAGAATTTTAAATTATTGAGATATTTGATTAGACGTGGAAGACAAGAAAACCTACAGTAACCTGCTGTCAGACAGAGCTTACAGATCAAACTGGCTTGAGCACAAAATCCAGTGGTTTGGGCTCCTGCTGCTTCCAAAGTGTTTGTGAGACGTGTGTTTTTCCCGTTGCACTGCAGTGATTGTTTGGCTGGACTGGGTGATGGATGGTGGAGAAGGCTGTGTCTGGAAATATGCTCCGAAGTCGACAGGAAGCTGAGGAAGCCCTTGCCAGCACTTCCTTCCTATATACAAGGGGAGGACAGAATGGGAAAAACCTTGGCTGTCTCTCACCCTGAGAAAAGTGCTACCCTTCCAGCTGGATTACAGTAAAAATATTTTAATCTTTCACAAGATTATAATATCCTTCCTCTCTAACTATAGCTACAGCGGTAGCAAGGCTTAGACAATGAAACAAGCTGAATCTAAAACTTATTAGGCAGCTACAGAAGCTGGTGCTGGAAGCTGAACAGAGATCCAGATTTGAAGAACGTTATCTTCAGCCAAGATATAATTCATCAGTGGATCAAACCCGTCTAATCCAGTACCTTGACTCCGAGACTAACTGGTACTAAGTGCTTCAGAGGAAGATGTAAAATCCATAGCAGTAGTACGTTGGAAACGTGTCCCTCCTGACAGCTTCAATCTAGTGTCTGTTTCTTAGAGAGTGGATCTAAACCCAAGATGCAATATTTCATACCTCTACAAAAATAATGTTGCAATGAGCAAATCTCTAAGTAATGTGGCCATCTGATCTACACGTTTCTCATGAGCACCCAGGATGGTTTGTGTTACCGAATCTTTCATAGAATGTCTTTTTCTGAAGACTCTGCCTCTGAATCCTTTTGTAGACAATTCACAAATCTGCATGATATCCTGCCATGCAATCATCATCTGCTCACAGGAATAAAAACACGTGCAGAGTATTAAAGAGTGGAAATTCTGTCTCCTCAACCCTGCGGTCAGCTGGGCAGTATAGAAAAAAACCAACAGACGATATCTTTCTCCTCCATACTACCACAGGAATTTTCCTTCAATTTTCTATTCTTGAGCTCCCAGATTCGAAGTCAGAGATGACAGTAGGATCCTTAGTATACAAAGGTGTTCAGAGTTCCAAACTTGTCAACCTGCTGTCTATAACCACGTAGACTACGACAGTAAGAGAGCAGGGCACAAGGGTGGTATCTATATGACCGTTTTCCTTGCTGTTCCAGCAATAGGATATTCTAACAACACCCACAAGGCAGATGGGCAAACTCATCCAGACTAACCGAGTCTTCTAAAGAAGAGAGGAAGAAACTCTCATGACTTCTGACAACAAAAGAAAAAAAAAAAAAAAACTGTGAGCGGACAGCTCTCATAGCAGCCTCTATTTCTGAAAAAGGAATCGGACAAAAAGACCTCACCCACAAACTAAGAGTGAAGAACAATGGAAAACATGAAAAAAAACAGCCCTCACATCAGAAATAAGAATGGCCCTTTCCACATCCAAAAAAGCACACAACTGAGCAAGAGTCTGGGAGACTGTTAGGCACTACTTCTGGATCATATGTCTTTCAGGCCCCTCTCCCTTGCACAAACTGCCAGAAGTAATGGATGTGACTGAATGCCAATAACCAAAGATGGGGAAGGAAAGAGAGAGGAAAATTTTGGCAGGACTGAGCCAAAATAAGTAATAAATTCTTGTCCTTTCAATCTCTGCCCCAAGAACCCTGACACTGAAACTTCATGGGACAAAACATGACAACGGTACGTGTGCGTATCTTTCCCGAGTCTTGTTTTATAGGGTAAAGCAATTAATAAGGAAAAAAATACAGATAAAATCTGAATGAATTGTGAAATACACTATAATAAAAATCATATGCCCTTCTGAATGGGTGGGAAGTTATAAAAAACAATTGTTATAAACATTTTCAGCCTAGAATGTAATTCTAATAATTCTAGTATCTAAATGTGGTCCTAGGAAACCTAAAAGATTCAGCCACCTCCATGGCATTCAACTTGCCATAGAATTCACAGCTTTTGCTCTGCTTGTAACTCAACATTTTACTCCAGTAGAAACTAGGAAAATAAATGAAAATCAAACATGCTGCAAGAACAGAAGATGTGTGAATATTTGGACAAGCGGAAAACTCACCGCCAGGCTGATCACTTGAGTTGCTCTCCTGATTCATCCTCCCTAGGACGGCACCAAATTAGGATGCTGAGCTTAATGGTCGATAGCTCAAAGTTTGTAGCCAAAGCTCTTGTTTCTGAAAGGAAAAATACAGAGTTACTATCAAGCTGTAGCAACTTCATGTGGTGTGACAAAGGAAATATCATGTGTATGGTTTATCAGGTGTTTGTGTTTAAGCAAGACAGTGGAGAAACTGTGTGGGCACATAATGTCTCATTGAAATGCTATACACAGCCTGAAGATCAGAAAACTACATGAGGACTTGGTGAACTAAGTCAACCAAGGAACACTGAGAAATGGCATCTGAAACCTCATGCAAGTCATTACACGTAGTTAAAAACACATCTGGCTTTCTGGAATAATGCAAGATTAATTGTCAGATCTTAACTGAACAAACAGGAGTCTTTAAAATTGTTTACTTGTCTTAATAACACAACCTAAAATCAGACCTGTGTAACCTCCAAAGAGGACAAACAATCCATGTGAAAACATATTTTTGCCATAGTTAAACAGCTCCTCCGCTTTGTTTGCTCGCCCTTCCACTCATCACATCTTGCCTGTGGCAGAGTTGGGAACAGAACCCAAGTCTCCTAAATCCCAATCCA